CATGCAAGCAAGTCTACTGCCAGCGCAGCACGGTCGACCGCGTGCCAGCACGACTTGGTCGACCGCGCTCCAGCAGTGCAAAGTCGACGGCGTGCCAACGTCGCAGGTTGACGGCGTGCCAACGTTGCTCCTGCAGAACAGCAGCACACCCGCTTCGCAGGTGCTCGCAGATGATTACCGTGCAGTGCCTCGTCACCTGTACAGCGCATACACCAAGTCAACTTTCTGCTGACCAAGGTCTCTGACCAGCCATGTCGACCTCGGAATACCACCACCGAGGTCTGTCAGAATGAACGAACAGGAATGATTGAACTAGCAGTGAAATCAGTACAAGTACCTAACCCTAGAATTGTGTACCCCCTAAAGGCTAACCCACTGTAGCCTAAACAACCACAACATATATAATGTTTGACACACCCCCATAGGCAAAGTGGGGGGGAACAAGGGGTCACAAGACCAGTCAGAGCAAAGCAAAGCACAAGCAAGCTCAGGGTGGATCTCAAGGGATACCACACAAATTCCGAGCACAAGCAAGTGGTCACAAGACCAGTTCACATGCAGTTTGATAATATAGCAAGAGGTACAGTAATCATAACCTAACAAGTAAAAGCATGCAGGTATATATATAGAGATCACAGTACAAGCAAAGTCAAGAAGTAAGCAAGTGAGGTCCAGTAGGCACAAGGCCTAGAAGAGTACAGAAGCGCTGATGGTCACAAGGCTGAAGCGCCTTGGTGAACACGTCAGCAGTGTTGGCCTGAGTGGCCACGTAACGCAGACAAAGCTGACCACGCTGCTGCAGCTCTCGAGCCAGGAAGTAACACAGAGCGATGTGCTTCGTTCTGTGCTCCAGTTTGTGCTCCTCACACAAGGCAATGGCAGCCTTGTTGTCGACGTACAGCACTGGAGGAGAACGAGGCCGCTCTCCCAAGTCGGTCAGCAGGTAGGTGAGCCAGCGTAGCTCCTGGGCTGCCATGGCTGTGGCGTAGATCTCAGCCTCACAACTGGAGCTGAGAACAGAAGAAGAACGTGTAGAACGCCAAGAAACTGAACCAGAGCCAAGGCTGAAGGTGTAACCCTGAGACGACCGCTGAGTGGCCTGGTCGTCTGCCCAAGAAGCGTCTGAGTGCCCAGTGAGAACAACTCGGTCTTGCCCTCCAAGCACTAGCCCCATGCCCGACGTACTGCACAAGTAGCGCAACACCCTCTTAGCGGCATCCATGTGCTCCTTCCGGTGACGGCCAGGAGCGACATAGCGTGCAAGGATGCTAAGAGGGTATGCAAGGTCAGGTCGAGTGCAGGTCATCAGGTACATGAGGCAGCCCACAAGCTCTGGATACGGGCCACTCGGCTCTACGGACTCATCCGAAGGCAGAGCTGAGAGCGAGTGACCGGTAGGCAGAGGAGTGGACTGAGGCGAGGAGTACGTGAAGCCGAAGCGCTGAAGGACCTGCCGCACCATGTGTGACTGAGTCAAGGTAATGGTGCGCCGTGCTCTGTCCCGGGTGATCCGCAAGCCAAGATAGCTTGTCAGTTCACCCAGGTTTGTGCACGTGTGTCTCTTCTGCAGCTCCGACTTCACGTGGGCGAGAGCCTCAGTGTCAGCAGTGGCAAAGACCGAGTCGTCGACGTACACGAGGATGTAGAACGGCGGCAGCGAAGTGTCTGTGCGCAGAAACAGCGACGGGTCAGCAGTAGAAGGCGCGAACCCAAGTGCCGCAAGTGTCGTCCTCAGTGTGTTGTGCCACTCACGTGGTGCCTGGCGGAGACCGTAGACCGGCCGCCGGAGGCTCCACTGGGTACCAGGAGGAAACGACCCAGTGAAGCCAGGAGGGCGGCGCAGCCAGATCTCCTCGTGCAGGCTACCCTGCAAGAAAGCAGTGCTGAAGTCAAGAGAGTGAAGCTCGTAGTCGCGCTGAGCGGCTATGTGCAACAGCACCCGAAGAGTGGTCATCTTCGGGGTGGGGGAGAAGGTCTGGAAGAAGTCGACTCCCTCACGCTGACTGAAGCCTCGAGCAACGTAACGCGCCTTGAAGACAGGCGGAGAACCCGGCGGCCGCTTCACCCTGAAAATCCACATGCCACTGACGATGTTCGCCCCTGGTGGGGGAACTGCGTCGACGTAGGTGCCTGTGGACTTCCAGGAAGCCATCTCTGCGTCCATGGCTGTCTGCCACTGAGAGGAGTAGGGACCCGCTATCGCCTCTGCGTAAGAGCGCGGGGTCGGGATGTCTGGTGCATCCGGGTCTCCCTCAGGGGCAACTAGCATGGACACGAGATGAGGCAAAGCAGCAGCAAAGCACTGGAACTCCTCCTGCCTGTCCTCAAGGACGTCCGTGCCAAGAGCACACTCACCCCCGACGTACGGAGGACAGACAGACTCAGACTCAGCAACAAGGCTAGCGGCGTAGTCTAGACGACAAGCGGCAGCAAAGTCAACTAACTCAGCAACGAGAGCAGACGCAGCAGAGGACTCAAAGGTAGGGTCAGTGACAACAGTAGCGAGGAGACGCGTGACAGTAGGACGGGCAGCACGAAGGGTGTCAGACTCCGGGTCAGCAAGAGTAGGAAGAGAGGACGCAGGAGGAGACGGCAGAGGGACACGCTGAGGAGCAGTGGAGGGACGCAGAGTCATGTAGTGAGTGCCAGGGACAGGAGGAGGACGCTCACGCGGGACACGACGACCAGTGCGAGCAGCACGAACAGGCGACGCAGAGCGAGACGCAGGCGACACAGGACGAGACTCAGGCTCACGACGCTCGGTAAGACCTCCTGTGGGACCAGTGTAAGGAGAAGGACCAGGGAGCGGCGAGGCAGGCGGTAACTGTGACTGTGACTGGACAGGCGGTGGACACTCTAAGGAGGGAGCAGGACAAGGAGGAGGAGGCTGACCAAGAACCTGCTGAAGGAGCGGAACGAAGTACGGCCGGGGCCGCGCAGCGACTCCAGAACCAGTAGAGACACCACCAGCACCCGCAGCAGCTCCAGCAGCGCCAGCTCCAGGGTCGTTAGCACCAGAAGTAGCCCCAACTCCAGGGTCCGCAGCACCAGCAGCAGCTCCAACGTCAGGGTCCGCAGCACCAGCAGCAGCTCCAACTCCAGGGTCCGCAGCACCAGCAGCAGCTCCAACGTCAGGGTCCGCAGCACCAGCAGCAGCTCCAACTCCAGAGTCCTCAGCACCAGCAGCAGCTCCAACGTCAGGGTCCGCAGCACCAGCAGCAGCTCCAACTCCAGGGTCCGCAGGACTAGCAGCAGCGCCAACTCCAGAGTCCGCGACACCAGCAGCACCAGGAGAGCCTCCAGCACCAGTAGTAGCACCTCCAGCACCAGGGTCCGCGACACCAGGCGCGCCACTCCGGAGAGTGCAGCGCCGCTCGTACCACTCACGGATCCGCTCAAGAGAGGGCAGCTCCCGCTGAGGAGGGGAGGCACCAGCACCAGTCCCAGTAGTACTCCTGGCTCCAGAGGCACCTCTCCGGAGGCTGCAGTACTCTGAGTACCACTCACGCAGCTGCTCCGAGGAGAGAGCTCCTCCAGGTGTAGGACTCCCAGGCTCAGCACCCCCAGACTCAGAACTCCGCGGCTCAGCACCCCCAGGCTCAGCACCCCCAGGCTCAGTACCCTCAGTCTCAGTACCCTCAGGCTCAGTACCCCCAGACTCCATACCCCCAGACTCCGCACCCCCAGGCTCAGCACCCCCAGACTCCGCACCCCCAGGCTCAGCACCCCCAGACTCCGCACCCCCAGGCTCAGCACCCCCAGGCTCCGCACCCCCAGCAGGACGAGAGTCAACAGCCACCTCGACAGGCTCACCCGGGTCTACTTGGGACACACCTGAGGGAGCGGCACCCTGAGGGGGGAGGGGGTCTACCACAGCAGCACCTGGCGCGAGGAAGAGAGGCGGGGGGGGGAGCGGGGCAGTGCGGTAGGGGAAGAGGCGGTAGTAGGGGACGGACTCGTCAAAAGTGACGTCCTGGGAGGAAAGGATCCGGCGCGAGGTGGCGTGGTAAAACTGCCAACCAGGCGCATCAGGGACAAAGCCAAGGAAGACACAGGGAACAGCGCGGGTGGAGAGCTTGTCCGCGGACGTATCGCGGACAAAAGCTCGAGATCCCCAGACCCGGAAATGCGACGCATCGCCAACCTCCCCCGTCCACAGCAGTGTGGGCGAGGTCTCCGGCAAGGAGACACGGGGCCAGAGGTTGAGCTGATGCGCAGCGTACCGGACCGCAAACGGCCACAGAAAGTGGGGGGCAGCCGCATGGATCAAGGAGGTACGGGCGACCTCCATGACTAGGCCAATGCGGCGCTCCGCAACCCCATTCTGCTGTGGAGAGGCCGGAAGCGTGAACGACTGCTCAATGCCATGCTCAGCACAGTAGGCTGCCAAGAGGTCGGAGGAGAACTCACCACCTCTGTCAGAGTGCAAGCGCAGGACAGGAAAGTCCGAGTGGAAACGCTCGCTGAGCTGGAGACGAGCTCTGCGGATCCAAGGGATCAAAACATCAGGGACCTCACCCTTGGTGCGCAAGGGGAAGACCGTGGTGTAGTGCTTGTAGTCGTCAACAACTATCAGGAAGTACCTCTCCTGACCCTGACCACGGACGCGGGCTGGGCCCCACACGTCTGCAAGGGAGCAGTCGTCGGGGGAAACGAGGAGGAGTGAGGAGCGGCGCGCTGCCGCCCCTCGACACAGGGAAGACAGGGAGGAGCAGGCGAGGGTGGGAGGGGAGGGAGGACCCTGGGAAGACCAGAGACAAGGTACCGTTTGTGCATGGCACGAAGGCGCTGCACAGACGGGTGGCCAAGTCGGTGGTGCCAGAGGACAGTCTCATGCGTCAGAGAGCGACACGAGCAGGGGGCCGACAGCTGACCTGACGCAGACGCAGACGCAGACGCAGCGACCTGAGGGGACTCAGTGGTCAGTGTGTACAGGTCCGACCCCGGCTGCCTAGTGAAGGTAGCCAAGTGGCGGCCCGTACGAGCACACGTGCAGTGTGTCACGCGCTCGTAGGCAGGGGTGAACTGGTGAACACCCGCGTCCTGGAGCGCACACCCCGCCACCAGGTTTGTAGAGAACGAGGGGAGGTGGAGACCTGACAGTGTGCCTGACGGGACCGCAGGACAGGGAAGGACAGTGGAGGAGGTCGCAACGACCGGGCCCCCAGAGGGGTCAGCGAGGGAGACAGCAACTGGCCGAGCAAGCGGCTCAAGGACAGTGCGGTCACGAAAGAAGCAGCGAGAAGCACCTGAGTCCAGTGTGAAGGTGTGTAGTGCCTCAGTCGACTCAGTACCAGGGGCGGCAGACGCACTGGCACCTAGAGCAGCAGCCTCACCAGCACCTGAGGTAGCAGACACGCGAGGACCTGAAGCGGCAGACGCACTGGTCCTAATGCCCGGGTCGGGCGGAACACACAGGTACTCAGCACCCTCTCCACTAGTAGACATCACATACATGGCAGTGAGAATAGCATCAAAGTCTAGAGCATAGATATCAATCCCCTTCTTCAGGAGATCAATCCAGCGGGGCAGCTCAGTGGCCTGAGGGAACTGAACACGCCAAGCGTCGTTGAGGCGAGCGAAGCAGCGCTGCGTGGCGTGTGGTCCCCCACACGGCTGACCAGTGCGGTCACCAGTGCGAATGACGTACGTGCAGCTAAAGCCACCCCCCCCCCCGTGCTGAGAGTACCACTCACGGACCTCCTGGGGCGACGGAGTGTGCTGCTGGCTCTGGCCACCGCCAGCGCCTCCACGACCACCACCTCCGCCCCCACCTCCTCGACCACCCCAACCCCTGCCGCCGCCGCGTCCACCGCCACCCCCACCACCGGCCCCGCCCTTGCCACCTCCCCCGCCGCTGCCGCCACCACCCCCACCGCTGCCACTCGCCCCTCCAGCCCCGCCACCACCCCCACCGCCGCCACCCCCCCACCACCCCCTCCCCCGCCGTCACCTCCGCCTCCCTTGCCCCCTTTGCCCTTGCCGCTGCGGCGTCCGCTCGAAGCAGACGCAGTCCCGACCTTCTCAGCACCAACGAGGTCGACAGCAGCAGCAGAGGCGACAGAGGGAAGAAGGGGGGAAGGAGAACACCCCTCAAAGAACGGGGTGCGGGGGTCGCCACGAGAGGCACCTACAGCGACTATGCTAGCCTCAGCTGCAAGTAGTTCCTTCTCGAGGAGGGCAATGGTGAGCTCAGTAGGGCAGCGAGCTAGGAAGGAATCCCTGACTGCACGCAGAGAGTCAGGGAGGCGGGTGACTAGGTGGTAGAGAGTGAGCCAGAGCGGGGGGGGGTTCTTGTTGGTGTAAGGGCCTAATAAACTCAAGCTATTAGGACTTAATCAAACTTAAAACCTCTCCTCGGGGTCACCTCCAAGGGTCCCTGGGTGCCTGGTACAAGACCAGCCCCTATCCTCGGGTCCGAGTTTGTAGAGAGAGGGATCAAGAAGGACTTAGTCAAAACAGCAAGAGTACCTTGAACGTCGTGCAGCGTGCCGTGCAGACCGTCGGTCGGATTAAGCTGAGAATTCGCTATATCGAAGCTCGCTCCAAGAGCTTTAAAATGAGCCAAGTTGCCTCGCGAAAAGTTCTGCCATTACGAAGTTATGGCTCGGACAGCGTTTGCCTAGCGTTGGAGTGCTAGCATACTAGCGTTGACTCGGGTAGCATTCCGCCGTCGAATAGCGCAGAAACGAAATTCCAGCGAGGAAGGAATTCGCTTGAATCAATTTGACTATATTCAGGTACAAACAGAGAAGGATTAAATAGTTCTAGCTAGCAAGGACCTTGGGAATCAACCTGGGAACAACCAGGGATGATCCCAAATAATTCCAAGCAACAGAACCAACCTGGCTGGACAAAATAGCAGGTGGTAGGTTGGTAAACAACCTCTGGTTCTGTTTTTCCAACCTGGGAAAACAACAACCAGGTTCAGGTTCTAAAAACAGAACCTGTTTTGTCTTTGCCCAACCAGCCAAATGCTGGTTCCGCTGGTTTCCCCTGGCCTTGTAGCATGCAGATACAGACAAACAACATCCAACCTTCACCTAAATTGTACCCCTATAGTGCCTTCCCTGCTACACTATAGTTAACCAAACAAAACAGTACAATTTCGAGTTGGATAGAACTGAATCTGCGCAATCAACTCAACCGAACTGCAAAGCTTCCATCTTGGGTTCCTTTGCGAGCTCGTCCTTTCTGCTTGCATTGTTCATAGCGCGTACAATGTCGTGCCGAAGCGCACATTGCGCGAGTACCTGCAAATGCATCAAGCAAAAATTGCGAAAGCAAACAAACACACGAACATTCCATTCACACCCAAATGCATTCGCACACGCATACTCGTACAAACAGACGGCAGGATGTCGTGCAATGTAAATTTGCACCCAACACACTCCCCCTCAGCCTGCCGGCTGCATCCCCATCATTCCATGCTAGTTCATGCTCATTCCACTCATGCGCACACAACGCCAATGAGGCTCATCCGCAAGCCTCTTGGTGAGAAAGTCTGCTGGCTGCTGGTGAGTCTTGATGTAGATTGGATTCACCGTCCCCCTCTTCACCTCCTTACGCAGCCAGTGCCACTTGATACGCATGTGCTTGTTCAGGCCATGAAGCACAGCGTTCCTGGCCATCCCAAGAGCCCCCTTGCTATCACAAAACAGCGGCGTAGCAACTTTCTGCTCCTGGCCAATCTCCTCTAACAGCCTCCTCAGCCAAATCACCTCCTTCACCCCATGGAACATCGCCATGTACTCTGATTCTACGGAAGAAAGTGCCGTCTCCGTCTGCTTCTTGGACCTCCAACTAACAGGTCCTCCCCCAACTACGCAGATGTATCCTCCCACAGATGAGGAATCCTCCTTCTCAGAAGCCCACGTAGCATCGGTAAAGCAAGTGAGAAATAGCTTGCCTTCTCCAAGCCTCTCCCCCTTCTCTTTCAGCACCTCCACCCCTTTCTGCTTCACCTGTGCAGATGCGGAGTATTGAACTCCAATGCTTGGGTGAGAGTTCAGGTACTTCACCACACGCTCAGCTGCATCCACCTGCTCCTCTGATGGATTCTGCACCACCCTAGCCAGCTGCCCAACCGAGAAAGAGATGTCGGGCCTCGTGTGAACTGCTGCGTACAAGAGGCTGCCCACCAAGGACTGAAATTGCTGCTGCTCTTCAGCTTCAACCCCTTCATCCTTTGCAGCCTTCACAAGCTTGAATTCTGCTGGCAGGGGAGTTGCAACCTTGCGCTCATTCTCAATCCCATACTTCTCCCCCAGCTCCTTGATGAACTTCTCCTGGTGCAGCTTCAACCACCTGTGATCTGGATCCCTCTCCACGTGCATCCCGAGGTAGTACTTTACCTCCCCAAGGTTCTTGCACTTGAAGTTTTCCATCAGTTGCTGCTGCACTTTCTGGATCTCCTTTATGCTGCTGCTGAAGAGAAGAATGTCGTCCACATAGACCAGAAACAGCACCAGCTTCTCCCCCTCGCCCTTGAGAAAGAGGCTCTCATCACAGCTGCTGGTCCTGAATCCCATCTCCTCTAAAACAGCTGCCAACTTCTGGTACCAGCAGCGTGGCGCCTGCTTCAAGCCGTAGATGGACTTGTTGAGCTTGCACACCCTGCCCGTACCATCCTCATACCCAGGCGGCTGCGTCATGTACACATCCTCCTCTAAAATCCCATTCAGGAATGCCGTTGAAATATCCATCTGAATGATGAATTTCCCACTAACAGCTGCATCTGCCAACAAGACACGGAGGGTAGGGGGTTTGGCAGTGGGAGCAAAGATCTCGTTGAAGTCCTGCTTCTCCTTCTGCATAAACCCCTTCGCCACCAGCCTACTCTTGTAGATGGTGACCTGCCCCTTGTCATCGGTCTTGATCCTCAGCACCCACTTGCATTGTATCGCTTTCTTCCCATCAGGCAGCACCACCAGATCCCATGTCCTATTCTCCAGCAGACTCTGGTACTCAGCATTCCTAGAAGCCAGCCACTTGTCCCTATCTGGTCCAGCTAATGCCTCCTCCATGCTAGCTGGTTCCTCTGGTGCAGGGGCAAGAAAACAGTACGCAGGCTCATCCTCCTCATCCGGGTCATAGCCATGAGGTAGAATCAGCAATGCCTCTTCGGTCCCTAGCTGCTGCTCTGCTGCATCAGTTCCTGCAGTCAGCTTCTTAGTAGCCATACGGGTACGTCCTGGCCTGGAGACGGGTGTCTCCCATCCCTTCATAACGACACCCTTCAGCTTCTTAGTTTTTCCCTGCTGCTTCTCTCCTCCCTCGGGTCCAGCAGCTCCACTAGTGCTGCCGCCAGTTTCCACACCATTTTCTCCACCAGCAGATGCCTCCTGTACCTTCTCTCCATCACCATTTCCAGCAGCTGCCTCCTCTCCCTCCTCCCACACACTAGGAGTCAGGTCCAGCTGCATGGTGATCTGCTCCATCTGCTGGGACACCCTTGCCTCCGGCTGTTTCTCCCAGCTCCCATACATCATGCCCTCAATGAATTTCACATCCCTGCTGTCAAACAACACACCCTTGGATGGTTCCCACAGCAGCCATCCCTTGCTCTCAGCAGCCAGCCCCAAATGCACACACCAGATTGCACTCGCCCCCAACTTACTGCGGTAGGTCTTGGGGACGTGGGCGACTGCCATGCAACCGAACACCCTCAGCATGTCCACCGGCGGCTTCCTCCCAAGCCACCTCTCCAAAGGCACCCACGAGTCATCCCCAACCTTGGTGAGCACCCTGTTCCTAGCGACGGTGGCGTGCCGGACAGCATGAGGCCACATAGAGTTGCTCAGCCCAGATTCTATGAGCAGCGCCCTAGCTGTCTCCAGAATGGTCCGGTTTGCCCGTTCTGCTACACCATTGGACTGTGGGGTATAAGCCGTGGTCAGCTCTCTCTGGATGCCCTGCTTCTTGAGCCAGGCCGTCATTTCAGCTCCAAGGAACTCACCACCCCGGTCTGTCCTAATCCGCTTCACTACACACTCCGCCTGCTTCTCCACGAATGGCAGCCAATCGTCCCGTATCGTGGAGGCGGCGTGGTCCTTCTGCTTCAGCGGATACGCCCACATCAGTCTGCTCCAGTCATCCACAATTGTAAGAAAATACCGCTCCCCCTTGTGCCCTTGCACCGGCAGCGGCCCCACCAAGTCCATGTGGACCAGCTCCAAAGGCTTCTTGCTCCTGCCAGCCACACTATGGAAAGGGAAACGGGTGAACTTTGAAAGCAAACAGATTTCACAGTTGTCATCGGGTGGCTGTCCGTTCAGCTTCAGACCCTTAACAGCTCCATCCTTCTCCAGCTGCTTCAGCAAAGGCATTGCCACATGCCCTAAGCGTCGGTGTGCCGTTGCCCAATCTGTCTCCCCAGATCTGGCCGACACTTTCACACCAACCCCTCCAACGGCATTGCACTCCCCCTGGGATGCAGACCCTTCTCCAGCCTGCCCCCCACCATGCCACGCCAGGGCCGGCAGCTGCCACATAGATCTGTACACGTCCTTGCTCTCGTGCAGATCCCAAAGCACCCGATTGCCTAGCTTCCCCTTATAAGTGCGTGCCCCATCCGTGTTGGTGTTCACCCCAGCCTTGCCAAGCTTACGGAGGGAGATAAGGTTGGCCTTCAGGTCGGGGACGAAGAGAACGTCGTGCAGCACCACCGGCTTGCCATCCGCTCCCTTAAACGCAGCTCGTCCCGCACCAGCCACCTTCAACATGTGTCCAGAGGCGGAGCACACTTCATTGATCGGTGCAGCTCGTACTTCGTCCAGCAGGTCCTTGCGCGGCGTCATCGTCCAAGCAGCGCCTGTGTCCAACACCCAATAGTCTAGGGGGTGCAGCTCTGCTCCAACTTTGGCAGAGGCGTCTCCTTGCTCCCCCTTGTCTCCCACATGGAAGAACTGGCCTGCGGTGCGCTCCTTCTTCTTCTCCGCACCACCGTTGCTCTTCGGGGTGTTGTCGGACGAATCAGCGACCATGTTCGCGCCGTTTTTCTGGTTCCTTCGCGCGCCACCATCCTGTTGACGATTCTGGGGGGTCCATCCATCGGGTTTCTTATAGCACAAAAACCAGGGGTGCCCTTCCTTCTCACAATACCAGCAACTCCCTTTCATTTTGCCACCAGCACCCGACTTGCCCCCACGTCCAGATTTCGCACCGCGACCCCAACCGGTACCTCCTTGTTGGTCGTTGGAGTCGTCGTCCTTCTTTGCACCGCGTCCAGCACCACCGAAGCCACGTCCTCTGCCACGTCGGCTCCCTTGCATCCCGTAGCCGCTGCTGCCGTCGTCTCCACCCCTCAGTTGGCGGCGACGGAAGTCCTCCTCCAGAATCTTCGTCCGCACCCACTCGAGCGTCCACAAGCTCTGGTTCTGCGGCAGGCTCAATCCGCTCGTGAATTGAAGCCACGATTCAGGCAGCAGCGAGAGCATCTTCAAGCACTTGGTCTGCTCCGGGTAGGTGATTCCCGCGGTCGCCAACTTCGCGTACAGGTCGCGCATCTTGTCCAGGACTGGTTGCACCGGCTCTCCCTCGCTCAGGCGCAACGCGGACAGCTCCCTCTCCAGCATCAACGTTGCGACAACGGAGGTCGGGGCGTGCAGCTCCTTCAACACGGTCCACGCCTTCGGACCGCATTCAACCTCCGGCAGCAGGTGCATGACGTGGTGACGCTGGTTCAGCTCCAAACTCTGCGACATCAGATAGTAGCCAGCCGATGAGCGCTCGTCCCAATCTTCCTGCAGCGTGGGGTCACTCGGTCTAGGCTCCTCCCCAATCATTAGTTTCAGCAAACCGATCTGACGGAAATATAATTGCATTTTCCAGGCCCAATCATCATAGCTCTCACCATTGAACTTCTCGACGGTGAAATTCTTCAGCACCTCCTTGACAAGCGAGCCCTGGTTTGTTCGCGCTCCCCTTGGCGCTGAAAGACCAGAATCTTGGCTGCCGCTACGATCTTGGGCTGAAGATTCACCAGCTCCCGCCGAGGTGTTGCCCGCCATAGCTACCTATAACGAGGATCACTATAACGCAGCTCTGATACCAGCTTGTTGGTGTAAGGGCCTAATAAACTCAAGCTATTAGGACTTAATCAAACTTAAAACCTCTCCTCGGGGTCACCTCCAAGGGTCCCTGGGTGCCTGGTACAAGACCAGCCCCTATCCTCGGGTCCGAGTTTGTAGAGAGAGGGATCAAGAAGGACTTAGTTAAAACAGCAAGAGTACCTTGAACGTCGTGCAGCGTGCCGTGCAGACCG